CTTTGCACCTTTCCTGGAACTCACTTGGTAGCCCAGGCTGGCCTCGAACTCACAGAGATCCACCTGCCTCTGCCTCCCGAGTGCTGGGAATAAAGGCGTGGGCCACCACCGCCCGGCTCAAGATTGATGACTTCTGAGCTCTCTCCTTCACTCTAGATGGCTATCTTTTCCCTGTGTCCACACCGTGTTTCTCCTTTCTATGTATCTTTTCCTGATTGCTTCTGTCAAGGGCACACTGGCCCTATCATACACCATAAGCCCATGCCTATCGCAGGCGACGCTTTAAAATTCCTGTCTCAAAACACAGTCTCATTCTGAGGTGTTGGAGATTAGGATTTTAGTGTGTGTTGTCAAGGAGACACAGTCAGATACTGCCTCGTGGGTGCTGGACCCTGGCAATGTGTAGTTGACTGTAGATGTTTACCAGAAGGCATGCTCCTGCCTCCAGCCTGCCCTGTCTAGTTACAGTCAACACTCCTTCCCTGGGGTTTTTCCTGCTCAGTAAGTAGCTCTCTCCAGTCTCCATCAACTGTAAAGAATAGAATCTTCCTCTAGGTGGAGACAAGCACTTGTCTCCTCCCTTAAGGGCTAACCCAGTGGGCCAGGTGAGGGACCTGGATAGAAGGCCACTCTTAGGAAGGTGGGTTCACCTTACAATAATGATGTAATTGGTCTTGTACTTTTCCTTCTCAGAATTTTCACCCCTTAGTGCTGTGCCTACAAGCCAAATCACCATGAGGTGCAGCCTCGGGGACAGGCCTTTCTGAGCCCTGGCTTTATGAAACCATGTAGCCCGGGGTCAGGTGGCTGACCTCCCTTATCCTGAGAAACAGTTTTTGTTTATTCTCTTCACCCTCCTCCTCCCTTCCAGGCAGCTGATAGATTACCATTTGCCTGCCCTGGGAATTTTCTTTTAACCCTCTAATAAATTGTCCATGAACTTCTGTTTGTGTCCATTCTTAAATTATTTTATGAATGACACTGGGTGGCGGTGGTGGCAGAGGCCTTTAATCTTAGCACTCGGGAGATGGAGGCAGACAGATCTCTGAGTTCAAGGCCAGCCTGGTCTACAGAGCAAATTCCAGGACAGCCAGGGAAACACGGAGAAACCCTGTCTCAAAAAACAAAAACAAACAAAAAATTATTTTATGAATAAGAAAAAAATAAACCTGAATAGGGCCCCCAGTTTCTTGGGTATTCTATGCTGGCTCTGCTGGGGTTTCTCAGGATTTCTGGTAACACTTTTTTCTTGACTTGACTTGGCAGAGAAAACAAAACTGTTTCTGTATCTCTAGACAACATCATAACTAGGTCACCTCTGGGTCAGGCCTTCAGGGAACCTAATTCCTTTGATCTGGGCAGCGGTCTGGGCCACAGGGTCAACTCCCAACCCCTCAAAAGGTGGTGCCATTGTACAATGTCCAAAATACAGTCTGGGCTCAGCTCAGGCTGGACTCTGACAGGGTGAAAAGAAGGATTGCTGGGGATAGGTGAGAGCTTATACTCAGCATTCCTCAGGAACCCACGGAAAGGGCCTCCATAGTCCGGAAGAGCCATTATCTCCTTATCTCCCTACCTCTGGCAAATTGGACACTTAGCTCCCTATTAGCACACACCTGTAACACATATCTAGGCCCCACACTAGCTCCCAGGCTGTTCTGGCTCACATATCTCCCACCACCCTGCAGCCACCCGCTCTCGCTAAAATTGGCAAGACTGTTCTGTCTGCCCAAGAGACAGCCAAGTGGCAGTTTTATATTACAATAAACCTTTCTTCCACCCATGGAGTGGTCTTGTTTGGTGGTCTCACTGCACCCTCACTTAGGGGCCGTAAGGCTCTCTGGATGGTTCCGCCAGGTCGCTGAAGTTAGAAGCAATAGACAAGGCCTCCTCCACTGAGCATGTAGACATAGACAGTGATTCAGGATGAAGGCTCAGGGTCTGTCCCGTGGTGCGTTGCAGAGATGGTGGAGGGAGGTGGAAGACAGGAGTGGAGAGCGGATCCCGAGACAGCTTGAAAACAATCATTGGAGTTGTAAGTGCTTTGTTTGGTGAGTGCATAGTGGGATTCCAGAAAGATCTTTCTTTGGCTAACACTGCGATCAATAGTAGATACTTGATAAAAGATCGCTAAATGAATGAATCGATACATGAATCAATGATGATGAAGCATCCCTGTCCACCCATGCTTTCCTCACCAATTCCTCCGTCACAATGTGTCTAAGTTAGGGTTTCTATTGCTGTGAACAGACACCATGACAATGGCAACTCTTATAAAGGAAAACGTTTAATTGGAGCTGGCTTACAGTTTCAGAGGTTTAGTTCATTATCTCCATGGCGGGAAGCATGGTGGCATGCAGGCAGACATGGTTCTGGAAAGGTAGCTGAGAGTTCTATATCTTGATCTATGGGCAGCAGGAAGAGCCTGAGACACACTAGGCCTGACGAGCTTCTGAGACCTCAAAGCCCACCCACCGCTCAGTGACACACTTCCCCCAATAAGGCCACACCTCCTAATAGTGCCACTCCCCAGTGACCAAGCATCAGACACAATCTGTGGGTGGCACTCCTGTTCAAACCACCACAGTGTCATCTCTGGATGTTGCGTCATTCTGGATAAAAAAGTTAATAATTTTTCTTTCCATTTGCTCTTTTCTATCTATATCTTAACCCTTTACTTATACATATTGCTTTAAGTTATTTCCAGGTCATTGATTAAGTAGCAGTTTTCTGTAATTTGATAATTTTTCTGTAGCCATCATTATGGGAGCTGCATTTTTGGGTCAGGAAAGATAATGGCAGTTTGATCTCTCTAGTCTCAGTTTCTTGAGACTAAAATTACATTTTTTTTGTCTGTTCTGATATGCGTTCAAGTTTCTAAAATTTTGTTTTCAGTTTGTTTTTCTCCAAATTTTAGCCAGACCTACTGGGATTTGGTTGATTGCTTTACTTTTCTTTCACTAATCAAAGCAACCAGTGTCCAAAGTTTTCTTTGACAAATAATAACAATAAAACTGTTATTATTCTTCCCTTGAGATAGGGTCTCATTGTGCAGCTGTAACTGGCCTGGATCTTGCTCTGTAGACCAGGCTGGCCTTGAACTCACAAAGATCCACTTGCCTCTGCCTCCTACTGCTGAGATTAAAGTCACGTACCCCCATGCTCAGCCTAATAACCCAACTTTCAATGAGCACACATTTTCATCTGGACATTGATTTAAACTCTGTATGGGTTGTCTAATTTTATTATCAAAGTGATTCTGTTTTGTGACCCTACCACAGTTTCCATTTTACAACATGACAATGTCAGGTTTCAGAGTTTATCGGAAGTATACATATAAAAGTTGCCAGAGGCAAGATCCAAACCTAGGCTGTGGCCGTGGTGTTCTTTCTTATCATGAAAAAACCATTGCAAGGTTAAAAAGAAAGACTAGAACCACATAAAGTCACTGTTTTATTAATTACAGACAAACAAAATAAAAATTATTACTGACGTAGTTTGTGAGTAATGGTTCTCAAAGTCCTTGGACGGCCACAGAAGGTTTGGAAATCTGGCAGTCTGTCTTTGGACTGAACTATTGTCATGCAAGTTGATCCAGCTTCCAGGAATCGTGATGAAACTCACCCTTTGTTGGTTGAATTTGTTAGTTTTGCTCCCAGCAGAAACTACAAAGTTCATAATTTTATGAATGAGGACATGCCGCTTCATACTCATTAAAGGCTAAAATGAAATATATTATGGAAAATGCCAACTGTGGATGAAGAGATAGAATCCTATGTAAGGCCCTGTGTTATCCTAAAGCATACTCATGTATAGTTCCCATAAGAATCGATGACTTTAATTGTTTTGGGAGAATTGTTCTCACTGCCACAGAAACTGAGATTAAAACTTGATAAATCCAGGGATCAGCTTGGGACGATAGGCCGACCCCACTCTCCATGTTTTTCAGATCCAAAAGCCTCGGAAATCCCCCTCAGCCTCTCCTTCTCTCTTCCTGTCCCTCTCTATCTGACTTCCTTAGTCCTCCAATATCTCTATGGCTAATCCTGGTCAGCTAATCGCTGACTCCATTCTTGATTTAAGGTGGCTTTACTGGTACCATAGAGTGGCAGTGTGAGCAATACTCCTGCAATATTTAATTATTGTTTTATTATTTTATGAGAAGGAACACATGATCATCTGAATGCCGAATTTTAAAGGCATTTGATAAAATTCAATACACCATGATAAAAATCTTCCATCTAATAATAGAAGAAACCTTCTTAACTTCATAGTTTCTATTAAAGTTCACTCAAAACATCATATATGAGGATGAGAAATGAAAACATTCCATTAAATGGGACAAAATATCCACTATCACTCTAGCTATTAAATATAGAAGAGATACTTTTAGAATAGTGAATTTAAAAGAATTAAGTCAGGGGCCTGGAAAAATGGCTCAGCAGCTAAGCGCACTTGCTGTTTTTGCAGAGTACTTGGGTTCTGTGGTGGTATTGTGTTCCCCAAAATATTGTGTACCTTAATAAACTTATCTGGGGTCAGAGAACAGAAAAGACACTAGTTAGGCAGTGATAGCACACGCCTTTAATCCTAGCATTCCAGAGGTAGAAATCTATCTGGGATTTCTGTGAGTTCAAGGCCACATTGGAAACAGCCAGGCATGGTGACTCACACCTTTAATCCCAGAAAGTGAGCCTTTAATCCTAGGGAGTGATGGTAGAAAGCAGAAAGGTATATAAGGCG